GGGTCAGATCTGTGAGGGTCAGATCTGTGAGGGTCAGAGCTGTGAGGGTCAGAGCTGTGAGGGTCAGAGCTGTGAGGCACATTTTCACGTCAAGTTTGGATTTTATAAATCACAACCTTGGCGTAAAAAGTGGCGTACGCAAGTTTCTGGGCTCAAATTGTGCGTACGCCAGTTTTATAAATCCGACCCCTGGTCTGTTTGGTTCTGCTCAGGTGTGTGTGTGTGTGTGTGTGTGTGTGTGTGTCCATCTCAGTGTGTCCCTTACTGTAAGGGCATGATTGTGGCCACAAAAAATAAAAAATAAAAAAAGCCATTGTGGTTTTATCGTCCGGTAGTCAAGACTGCATTTTTATTTATTTATTGTCGTGGTGCTGTTTATAAGTGCTTGTGTAATCATGGACGGTCAACTTGTTCAAAACCTCCCGGGATATCTGCTGGGCTTCGTCCAGCGCTCGTCTCCTTCACCTCTCTCGTCAGGAAGTGTTAGCAAGTTCTGCCTTTCCCAAGAGCGCCAAAAAGGTTTGCGCCTCTAGGTTAGACTATTGTTTTATCACTGCTTTCGCCATGTCGTATCTCGCACTCAGCTTCCAAAACAAAAGCGGCTCTCTCCAGGAGGAAGTTTGCAGGATACATTTGCACAAGTAACGCCTTTCCTCTGTCAATCAATCCAAGAGCCAATCCAGTGGCAGCATTCTGCCCATGTCAAAATCGTAAGCGTTTGGTCGAGGTTGAACTGAGGAGAACGGCATACATTGGGAGAAGGGGCGTTGTGTATTAATATAAAAAAATGCATCAATATTTATATTTAGCTGCTTTTTTCTCCATACACGGCTCCTCTGTTTTATAACACATTAATATAAGAAAGGCTTTTATTTGCATAAAAAGTTTCCCAGGATTCTTAGCAACTTCAATGAGTGTTTTGAATGACTGCTGTAATAATCCATTATTATAACCACCTATTGTTCTCTTCCAACCAGTTCTAGGAGACTGAAGTGGAAACATGGAAGTGAGTGGATTAAATAAAAAATAAACAAATTCAACAGGACTGCAGCAGACTCACTCGGGCGCCAGCTTGTCAAGACGTCCAAAAAGATCCTGTTTGACTTTTATATTTTCAACGATAGCCTCCAACACCAGATCTGATGCTGGAACTGCAGAGGCAACATCAGTAGAGGTGGAGACGTTCTGCATGACTTTCTGGATGAATTCTTCACCTGCCTAGAAAAAAAAAAAACACAGAAATGTAATTACTGCTGAACTGAAGCGTGTTTTTCCACTTTACTGTTCAAGCTGCTCGCTCGCCTCAGGTTTGTCAGCAAACTTCTTCTTCGCCACCCTTCTGAGGCTTCCTTCGATCCCTTTGACAGACTTCGTCAGGATGTCTTCAGACATGTCCACCAGGGTCACCGTGTGGCCTGTAGACGCAGCTACCTTCAAGACGGGAAAAAAAGTCGTCACATTTATAAACTAGTCTGAAATTCTCGGAGCATCTTTGGATGCTCAAATGCCAAAACAAGGAGCGACTTTCTTCTGTTCTCACAAAAAAAAAAAATAAATAAAAAAATAAAATAAATAATAGACTGAAGTTGTCTCTTGAAGTCAGTTTCTGTTATCTCCCCCCAAAAACAGTGATTTTATTAATATTTACAAAAAATGTTACCTTAAACCTCCAGTTAGATTATATAAAACCCTAAACTGCCTTTTATTTTGTTTATATGTATTAATTGACACTTTGAGGATTTCATTAAAAGTGGTCTACTAGTTCATGACACATTTTGCAAAAAAAAACACATACATATACACACATCTATCACAAAAGTGTGTACACCCTTTGCATTTGTTGCCAGGGTTTACATATTAATGGTTGTGTGCAGCGTTATTTTGAAGCGACAGCAAAGTTACACTGTTAAGTAGGGGTGTAAGAAAATATCGATACACTGAAATATCGCAATATTTCATTTCCCGATACTGTATCGATATTCTAAGGCCCTGTATTGATTTTTTATTAAGGTTTAAAATGTCA